TCCGACACCGAAATGCACAAGCTACCGATGAAGGCGAGCCTTATTTCCATTGACTTGACCCAGTGCTTTGCGCATGGCATCTCCGATGTAGGTACGTGGTTTTTTCACTCCCTTTTATTTATTTTTTTTCGTTTGCATCACACTTTGCTATATTTTAAGTCGTCCAACCTTTCTCACCGCAAAACATTACTGACCGATTGCACTAGCTGACGTCTGCTGACTACTTACAGTCTGTTTTCATCCTTACCTGCCATCTTGCTAAGTGGATCAGTCAACACATGCTTGTCATCTGTTTTAGCCACAATTAACTTCAGATGTGTGCATTTTTGTGCATAAAATTGCACAATCTTTAGTATTTTTCTTTTTTTTTTCTTCCCGTCCACATAAACACAACTCGGTTTGTTACACATCATCGGTTATATGCTTTTTTTTTTGTGTGTTTTCAAGCCTTGCCAATCATAGTGTACGCTCAAGTCAATCCCCTGCATTTGAAGTTTGATGTTGACACAATGATTTGGCTTAATGCCTTCTTTCTCAGTCTGAAGACCAATTTGGTGAGTTTTTAGTTCTCACTCTTCTGCCTATTTGATGGGGGAAATTGAAGATGTTTCTCTGTGTGTGTGTGTGTGTTGGAGTGTAGCACGCATTTGTGGTGACACTTGGTTCTACTATTACCGCGTCAAGTTGTGTTATGCGAGGAAATTTCGGTTTTCATTACTTGTCATATGAATGCCTAATTGTGAAGTAGTCAGTTTATGATGTGCATGACTCTTTTAGCAGTCGCTTTTTGACGATTCTGATGTGTCCGTTGCCACCTCGGAGACAATGATTCCACTGTTCTGTCGTGCGGAGGTTCTCATGCCCAGGGTGAGTTCACTGATTTGGGAGGGAGAGGGGAGGCGGAGCGTTAGGTGAACTTTTTCACTCTCTCTTCTCCTCGTCCTCCCCCTTACATTCCACTTTTAGCCCTCGAAATGAGGGAATTTGTAAAATTCCAATTCACCTGCAGGAAATTGCATTACTGCTGCTTGTCTTTCGGCCTTAGAGACTGACACTATAAACCGTATCACTACCCTAAACACACTATCACATGGGTTTGGTACTGTAAGAAATCGACCGTCATGTGAATTACAAAGCATACAGTCTCTTGGGTGCGTGACTTGAAAGGTAATTTTGTCGCGCCCTTTTGTTTGTCTCTTCAAAAGCATCTACACAGCGTTGATTGTGAAATGAAGTAGTTTAGCCTTGCGTCGCCTTGATTGAGGCCTCTTCTCTGCAGTGGATTGGTGCGAAGAGGAGTGTCGGTGTTGTTGTTACGGTTCAACAATCCATGGACCTATGAAAAGTGGCTTTTGATGATTGCTTTAGGTTATCTTTCCAATGCATCCTCCACCATCCAATCCTGATAGCACCTCTGACTACCCTTGGACAGGTCCGTCTGCCTTGGTTGTTCAGGTAGGATTTTTGTTTGCACATTTGACTCTTGATTGGCTTGATACATTTCACTGCTTGCGTTCATTTTTTTAAATCCTCTCCCTTTGCGCCTTTGGGAGGGGATGGGGAGGTGGTTGTGTCTCTTCTCCGACGGTTTAACATCAACCTGAAACAAATTGTGAGGGAAGTGGCCAAGAGCACTCACTGATCCTCACCTCAATGGTCTCAACTGTCTGGTAGCAAGTGGATCTCGCCTGAAGGCCTTGAATGGAAGACATGTCCACTGACACTTACAAGCTGTGTGGAGGAGACACATAATGACAACAACTTCTACGCAGTCGCCACACAATCGCCTTGGAATTCTCAAAATTGCACTTTTTTAGGCATGAAAGTTACTGGAAATGATACACAGCAGTGTACATGAGCAATAAGGCTTCGAAGCACTACCTGAATGAATCCGGTCTAGGCTTGGAACAGTTGGGCTTACTCATCACCGAGACGTTCGGTTAAGTGTTCGATTAACTTTAAAATGTCCCTCCATAAGGTGTCCCCAAAGCTGCGACTACTTAACTACGCGCCTACTCCACACCGTTTCAGTGTCTATTTTGTGTTTGCTGCCATAGGAAGCTTAATAACTCAATTTCCACCCTTCCTTTCCCATTCAGGTGGACACAGTGTTGCTACAAACCATTCCCAAGCCATTGACCACCTCCATGGCCAAGACTTTGGAAGAGTGTTTGGACAAATTAGCAAAGCAATCACAACCGCCACCAACTTGGGGCTGTGCGCATACACCTCCCGATCTGCCCTTGTTCAAAAAATTCACTGAACTGAAACCTCCTTCACAGGTGAGCCATCGACTACTACTTTTAGGGATTTAAGTATGCTGTGTTCAAGGTGGGAGGAGTTTGTGCCACTTTGAAATTTTGATTTTCACCTCTGAAATGCCGATAATGCGAGCAGATTGAACTATTACAGGAAAGCGGTGGTGTGAGTAGTCGAATGGTTGCGTTCTATCGGCCAATTTCAATCAAATGTAGGCTGATGTCAAGATCTAAAGGAATTTGCCAAGGTTAATTCTATGTACCTCTAGTTGGAGTGTAAAGTGGGAGACCTCGAAGGTCAAGCAGACCTTCAAAAAGTCTATCTCCGTCCAAACCTCCTTTTGGCTATGGACACTGTTTTGGATAAGATGAGTGGAGTTTTTCTGCTGCCACAAACCAACTTAATTAGGAGCCCTTAATTGGTCAGTAGTGGACGTGGATTTGGACACCGTGAGAGAGTTTATCTTCATTTTTTTCCATGTCCACCAACTTCTGCCCATTAAACAACCCATTTGTGCTCATTTTATCGCGAGCACAGGAAAAGGGATGGCGCGATTCAGGAATAGTCACTGAGGTAGGCGGAGGCATGCAATTGCGAGGGCGATAAAGGGATTGGCCTTTGACTTGACCTCAAATCCACCTTCAACGTTCGAGGGCAAGATAGATACCCGAATGATCGCCAGACGCATAGGTGTTTGCGTAAACAAGGTTTTTGTGTATGCACACCTGATTCACTTCAAGTGATGCTTCCTCGGCCAAAGATAGGGAATGTTCAATGTTAAGCGTCTGTCATCAACTCTCCACATGTGTGAAGGTTGCAGAAACCGTTGTTGTCAAGTGAATAACGTAGAAAATGCGTTTGGGCGGGTGTTAGATGAATAAAAATGTTTATATTATGCGTGTTATGACGCCGAAGTCTACACCGATCCATCGTGCAATTCGCGTTTGCATGATGCCAAAGGTCGTAGAGATGGCTTCACATGCCACGTAACTGTCGTCATTGCCTTTAGCCTTATTCAATGTCGTTACCTCATGCGGCTTCAGGGGAGAGTTGATGTGCCCTTGCGTTTACGCCCTCCTGGTTGATTGGGATTAGGTATGAGTTTGTGTTAAGTGGTTTACTTTTCATGCGTGCTCGAGACAACTGCGCCATTGGAGCGGTCTGGTTGGAGGTGTCAATAGAATTCAAATCAGACACACTCACTACAGTTAGGAGAGGTGTTTGACACTCCATTATCCGCAATTTTCACTTCTTGTTTGCAATAATTGTCAATCTGTTATTGGTAATGACACAATTGCTTTACACCTACATCTGATTGGGACGAGAGGAGAGGTGAGGTGAGTTGCAAGCCAAAGACTCCCTTCAGTGGCCTTCACTTCTCTTCAGGTGCCAAGTGACACCGCACTACATGTTCACTGGCCTATTATTTATTTATTTTTTTTTTAAAAAAAGGAAAACAATGGTGTAACGCTGATTGACTCAAAGTGTTCCAACCCTTAGGGGCTGCTCACGGCTTCATCACTGCAAGGTCATTGTTGCTTTATTTCTGTGTTTGTGTGTGTTGCGGATTAGACAGTAATTGTTAGCAAAGATCTGCCTACTCAGGGGTAGAAACATGTTGATGTAAAAAGAAGCTGTCAGCACTGATCAGTCGGCAGTTGTATCCCCCCAGTCTCAACTTACCCCTCCCCCTTGTGGTGGGGGAGAGGGAGGGCGGTAGGCTTACGAATCGTTTAAGCGGCTTGACATCTTGTTTAAGCTTTGACAATAACTGAAGTCAAATTTGACATCACAGCGGTTTATCACACACCTTGTAGGGAGAGGAATTTGATCTCCGCGACAATTGGGTTGCTTTGGGAGCATTTAATATGTAAATTTGTTTTTTAGGCCTTAGAAGGGGAGATGAAAGGTTTACTGGTGTGTATTCACTGTCCCAGTGTGTGGGCCGAGTTTCTCACCATCTGTGAAGCAGCTAGACGTCATTCAACTGGATCTCCATCCTTCAAGACCTATCGTCAGGCCCTCCTTGATCCCTCTCCTTTCACTTGTTGGGTGCTAATTCCCTCTTGGCCACCTTGGTATCGTCCTCCAACTGCTCCTCGTTACCCAGTTACGTGGAGTCCCAATTTAAGTCGCCATTTGACATCTCCACCCTCCCATCCTGCTCCTATCAGTATTGTCATTGACCTCGACTCCTCGGTCAATCCTCTCTCCGTTTATCCAGTCAGCAGTACTTCCCCTCACTCTGGTAACAAACCAAAACCACTGCACTTTACTATTGGCCATTCCGGTGCTGTATTCACCTTCCGTTCAGTGAAACATCTTCGCTTGCCCGATGCAGTAGATCATTTGGTATTCCTCTACGGTCTCTTCTTTCGATTGGCTCGTCTCAAGGCCAGTATTGGATTGGATTGTTTGGAAAATATGACACGACAACAGGAGAATGGAGATGTAAGGCGATTTCATGAG